GGTATTCAGCTTTGTGCGGGTATTTTCCCACATCATTGTAGTTGTGCTTTTAAAGTTGTAGCAACGTTTCGGCAGAGTCTCATCTGCCACGTCATTGTAGTTGTGCTTTTAAAGTTGTAGCAACGTTTCGGCAGAGTCTCATCTGCCATCATCAGGCTTCTGTATTGTGTTCGTCCGTGAGTCATTATATATATATTTTGTGTGTATTTATATGTATGGTATTCAGCTTTGTTTGGGTATTTTCCCACATCATTATAGTTGTGCTTTTAAAGTTGTAGCGCCGTTTCGGCAGAATTTCATCTGCCATCATCAGGCTTATGTATTGGGTTCTTCTGTGTGTCAGGCTTTCACAGCTGTTTCTGTTTATTGTAACCCAATACACAAGCCTGAAGATGGCAGATGAGATTCTGCCAAAACGTCACTATAATTTTAAAAGCACAACTATTAAGATATGGGAAAATACCCAAAGAAACCTAAATACCTGTTCTCTACCTGTTACTATTATTAAAAACAATACCGAACAAAGTTGTGGTCTAATTGAATAAGTTACATACTCCTACAAATAAATTAATACAACATAGACACTAGAAGCTACGGTATCATACGGACATAACTATTTTAAAAAGTGCCAGTGTGGTCAATTAGGATTGGGGAATTAAAAAATGTATCGATTAACTGAGCTAATTGCCCAGTGTAACTCTGAAATATATATATATAAATGCAAAAAATAAATAGCGTTAGCACAGAGCTGCAAGACCATCAGGAAGATGGACAACTAACATTTTCAGACAGTGTAATCAAGAAAAATAATGGATAGCTTAAATATTGTTTTAAATAAAGCCTTTTAAAATTACTTTTAGATGAAAATGCAGAGCAAAAATAATCCAAAATAAATCTTGGGCACATAATACCAGTGTGAAGTTTTTCTTTCTTCCACTTACAGAAAGTGACTCTCTCTCAACCACACCTATTTCTTCCCCTCTTTCCTACCCAAGAACTTAATATAGCCGCTTTCTTGCGTGTAAATCCATCTCGGTTTTCTACACTTCTCACAAATGTTATACAGATCCACAGCAACATCCTCTCCTAAACGCGCGTGTATGAAAAGGGGAAGAGAGTGACAGCCCAGAGACAGACTGCCGGTCCCCAGCATACACACCCTCCACCCACGCGGCGCCACAAAAATATCTCCCCACTCCCACCCACCTTTGAACGGGGGGGGGGAATGAACTCCCCACATGTCGCAAAGTGGGACACAGGGCAGGCTCGGCGCCCGCCCGCCTTTTCTCCGAGGCGCAGCTCGGGGAGGACAGCTTGTCCCTCGGCAGGCGAGTTTCCCCCGCGCCCTCACCGGCAAGCACAGACGCGCAGCTCCCCCTCACAACCTCCGACCGTCCTCCCACCACTTTCTCCCCTCCTCCTTCTCTTTCCTACCTGTATCAATCCGAATGCGTGAAAGAAATAATAATTTTTTTTTTAAAAAAAAAAGCCGAGCTGCCGCAGTGAACGGTCCATTCATTCCCAAAGCCGACCCGCGGATGTTCTCACGGCGAGCATGAAGAACCGGCCTTGTAGCTTCACCTTGCCCCCCGCCCCTCCTATTTGCCCCCCGCCCCGGTTGCCACCCTCACCCGAGGCTGTCATTCCGGGCAAATGCCCCGCCGGCTTCTCTCCGACCTCCGCCAAATCATTCCAAGGCCTCGGTAGGCAGCACCTCTTCCCCCCTCTCGCTCCCTCAGGTGAATGCGTCTCTTTCCCCCGCCCCCCCCCCACCAACCCAACCCATCCCCACCCGCCCCAGATCACAGCCCGGAGTAGAAAATAGCTACATCGGGACGCTACTCCGTCCTCTCCTTCTCGACGCTCACCTTGGACCGCAGAATCGCCGCTCCTGCACGGGGATTCCAGCGTGCGCAGTTGCGACGGAATCCCCGCTCCCCGTTAACGCCTCCGTCACCCGAGAGAGAGAGAGAGAGAAAGAGGCTGCCTTCTGGATGCCGCGCAGGAGAAAAACCCCTCCCAAGGCAAAGAGTTGACTTCAGACACCACGAGCCTCCCCGGCTAGGCTTGGGGGAGTTACCCGCCTCCCTTCACTTACTCGCACTGCCATTGGCCAAGACGAGCCGCATAAGTCACCAATGAACAATCTTGGCTTGAACGGACCCTTGCAACCGATGGGCCTGCGAAGGTGTCAGTCCCCTTTACTCGGGCCTTATATACAAGTCTCGCGAGTTTTGTTGTCCTTTCTGTGGAGGTGCGGGGTGGTGGAAAAACGAGGGGGTTCCGCGGGGGATGTTTGCTGCCTTCGCTTGCTTCTTACTCTCACGTAAGGGCGCCTAAGACGGCGCTGCTCCCTCGCTATTGATCCCACCTAAGGTAAACCCCCAAGAGCGGATTTGGAGGGACAGATCACAGCGACAGCAAACGGATAACTAGCAGGAACAGTTCGTCTGAACATCCTTCATCTTATCTGAGCTGCGTGTTGCTATTCCTTTCTGAGCCGTCTTTTACCCCAGGGGTCTCCAACCTTGGCAACTTTAAGCCTGGAGGACTTCAACTCCCAGAATTCCCCAGCCAGCTGGCTGGGGAATTCTGGGAGTTGAAGTCCTCCAGGCTTAAAGTTGCCAAGGTTGGAGACCCCTGTTTTACCCAGTACTCTGTCGTCTCTATGTTGAAAAAAAATATGTAATCTTACCCAAGAAAGGGGGGGGGGAACCCGACACGATTGCTTTCAAGTTCTTTGGGTCTACTAGAAGTCAATTAGTTCTGCTAAATCGCTTGTTTGAAAGATCTATGTGAATCTTAAAATAATAGTTTGGAATAGAATTAAAGAAAATCATATAGTAAAAGGTTTTGTCTTAGGACAAAAAGAAAAAGGAAAAAAAAAACCCAAGTTCCATGGAAAAGGTTCCAATGTGAAAAGGAGGAAGGACAGAGAAGAGGAGGACTGACAGCAAGTTGGATGGATGGATTCAGTTACGGTGGGGATGAGTGCAATATTGGAAGACTTGAAATACCAGATTAGCGAAAATCTATGTAATTGATAGAGGTCGAAAACAACTTGATGACACACTATCTAAAACTTCCCTTTAGCCAAATTATAGCTTCTATATTGCCTAAAGGCACCACACATAGCTATTCTAAGCACTTTTTAATCTGGGTTTTTTTTTAAAAAGTTCTGTCTGTACAGAAGTCAAAGAAAAATATTGGGAAGATTAGAAGCAGAAGACAGTACTGAGCCTTTCCCTATTAAAGTGCTGCCCATTTCTCTCTGAGTTACGACAAAACAATATTGACATAAAATTTGTTGTTTTCATTGCCACTCCCTACCTCTCTTGGATTCATTCCCAGCCATTGCCAACTGGTGTCATCTTGACATATACTTACATATACTTATATACTTCTTTCTCCTTATCTCCTGCATATCACTGCTAGCAGAAAGAACATGGAACGGTACAGTACAGATTGTGTGATCCTGATTTCAGGACTCTCTAGATCAACATATCTGTTCCTCCCAAACTGCCGCTAACTATCTTTCCAAATTAAACTAGTGTGAAAGAAACATAGGAGGACATCAAAACAAAAATAGCTACAGAGAGTAAGGAAGGGGAGCAGGCAATGATTCTGCAATCAGGTAATACCTATAGGGTGGGATTGCTGGAACTGACTAGATCCTGGGCAGCTATACACTGTAATTTTAAAGGATTGGTAAATTCCTCATTCCCCACTTTCTAAAGATAAGGAAACGTAGAACGGGTGCAACTAAAGATAGATGATGCCCTTGGTCTACTGATATCATTTCTGAGCATTGGTAAAACAGAATTGTACAAAGAACCACTTCCCCAAATAAAATAGGGTAGGTCTACTTTTATTTCCTCTACTTTGTTGAAATCTTGGAGAAAATACTGTTTCAAAAATAAGGAAATAAAATAAGAGTAACTTCCAAAGAAATCTGGAAATAGAGGACTATAATAGGAAAAGCAAGAAGAAAATGGCTGAAGAGATGACGGCAGAGGGAACATGCTAGTCACACTCATGACAATTACCTGAAATCACCTTTGAGATAATGGGTGACAAAGTGATAGAGATTATACATACATTGAACTTGTGCTGGGGCATGGTAAATCTATTGGAAGAAAAATAACACTCATTTGTATGACCAGCCCTGGCTTTTTTCCTAAAATATTTTTTTAGATACAAGTATACTTGTTTCCAGTGGGAGTTATTTTGAAGTGGGCTGTAATTAGATTTACAAATTTACAGAGGCCTAGAAACTAGGAAACTATTCAAGTATCCTTAGGCATGAAAAATCGGCTACGTGACTTTGGACCAGTCAGTCTCTCTCTGCTCACCTCGCCCCACCAAGTTACTGTTGTGAGGAAAATAGGAGGAAGAAGGAGTATTAGGTCTGTTTGCCACTTTGAGTTATTCATAAAAGTAAAATGACTGGGTGGCTGTGGCCTAATGATATATATCATGTCAATCAGATAAAAGGGAAAGCTAAATGGGGCGGGGTATAATAGAGATGGCAGCAAATAGTTTCTCTTGCTTTTCTGCCCTCTGGAACTGCCAGTATCTTTGAATACCAACAAACTGAATTCAGTCCCATTCATTAACTGAAAGTGGATGAGGACTTCTGAACCATTCAAGTCAGAGGTGGTATTCACCATGTTCTCACCAGTTCTGAAGAAACGGTAGCAGAAATTTTGAGTAGTTCGGAGAACCGGCAAATACCAGCTCTTGACTGACCCCGCCCCCATCTATTACCTGCCTCCCAAGTCCCAGCTGATTGGCTGGGTCTTCTTTTGTTGCCCTGCACAGGAGAACGGAGCTGGAAAGCAGGTTAGTGGGGTGGAGTGGGAATGGGGATTTTGCAGTATCCTTTCCCTGTCACGCCCACCAAGCCATGCCCACCAAGCCATGCCCACAGAACTGGTAGTAAAAAAATTTAAATCCCACCGCTGATTCAAGTCAAGAAAGAAAACAAAATTGGAAAGTGGGGAAGGTCTAGAAGAAAGACAAGGAAAAGAATGAGGCAATATGCAAACTAAACAACAAAAGACAATCAACTCGTAGCCTAGAGAGAGAAGAAAAATTTTGGGATTATTATAAATGTGATTAGATTAAGCAAACACGTGACAGCAGTGACATATTAAAGAAAGCATCAGTTTTTGTAGGAAAGAAAAACAGAATTATCCTAGAGAAAAGAAAAAGAAAAAAACTATTTTTATTAAAGTTCAGTTTGAGAATTAAGAAGCCTATCAAGAGAAAATAATTCAGAAATCTTAATGAAGGGGGATGATAGGCTTAAATAGCCTAGCAAAATCTTCTGTAGTCTGTATATTGTTATGCTTGTGATTTTCCTTCCTCCTACTGTTTCATGCCAGTTCTGGATGCCATTAAATGAAGAGGCTTTGTTTCCTAAATCTAAACTCCTGAATTGCACAATAACAGCTTTGTAATATGAAAAATTGTAATTAAAGTTGAAAGGCTTTTAGTTACACACAATTTTATAAGTCCAATCATTTGAAACATTATTCCTGGAAGGTATCCCTCTGTGATTTCCAGCAACTCCAAACGTCTCCAGAAATCTAAAATTCATTTTAATTGCCTAATAGCAATAGCACTTAAACTTATATACCACTTCACAGTGCTTTGCTGTCCTCTGTATGCAGTTTACAGAGTCAGCCTGAACAATCTGGGTCCTCATTTTACCATCTTCAAAAGGATGGAAGGCTGAGTCAACCTTGAGCCACTCAGACTCAAACTCCTGGAATGAGAATGAGTTAGTATTGCATTCTAACCACTGCACCACCATGGCTCTAATAATCATGGAAATCATGATAAATTACCACACACTTACCTGTTTCCCCCTGGCCTTCTAGTGGTGTGCCACAGGTAGTCCTTGACTTACAACAATTTGTTTAGTGACTATTCAAAATTACAACAGCACTGAAAAAAGTAACATATGACCATTTTTCATACTTACAACCATTGTAACATCCCCACGGTCACATGATTAAAATTTAGGCACTTGGCAACTGACATGTATTTATGACAGTTGGATTGTCCTAGGGTCATGTGATCTCTACTTGTAATCTTCTCAGCAGGCTTCTGACAAGCCAAGTCAATGGAGGAAGGCAGGTTCACTTAACGGCTGCATGATTCACTTAACAATTATGGCAAAAGAGATCATAAGATGGGGCAAAACTCACTTAACAATTGCAACAAAAAAACTGAGCTCAATTGTGGTCATAAGTCAAGAACTACCTGCATACAGGTTACAGAATTTGAAATGAAGGTACATTCCTAGATGCTTTATGAAATTATTTATGGTGTCATCTTCTCCAAGCTTGGCCCTTGGAGTGGTTTGCCTTGCAGCATAAGATCTTTGCAAAAATCTATAGGAAAGCCAGTTGGAGGAAATCTTCTACATCAATGCTGTAAGTGCATTTAGTAACAATTGATTATGTGCCATGAAGTCAGTGTGGACTGTTAGCAACCACATAGATTTTTGTCCCTAATGATCAGCTCTAACATGGTCCTTCAGGTTTTCCAAAGATAAATGAATTTAGAAATTAATTGGCACCTTATTCTGTGACTGTGGATGGTTGGCTTAATCTTTTTTGCTGCAGTTTTATTGACTATGGGCATATTAAATTTGGTTATTCAAAACTTTCAAACAAGTAAATTGGAAGGACTCCATTCTCCAAATCTAATGTACAGGAGGGAAAAACTGATTACTAATTGCATTTAAAAGGTTATGCAATTTACCATAGAATCTAAACAGCTTGTAAACAGTTGTTAAATATGTAATACCTACACAGCAATTTCTTTGTGGGTTTGCAACATTGTGTTTCTTTGTGAAATACTGTATTTCACCACTGGTTAGAAAAAACTTTGGTTCCATTCCAGACAATTTAGATGAAACTGCCATTTCAATAATATTTTATTGTGAAAGGTAAAGGTTTCCCTCGCACATGCGTGCTAGTCGTTTCTGGGTCTAGGAGGCGGTGCTCATCTCCATTACAAAGCCAAAGAGCCAGCGCT